CACTTCCATAGGCGTGCGCACGGGGTGTGTCGGGTGTGCCTGACCGGCAGGGGAGATCTCTGGATCTCCCCGATCGGCTCATGCAGAGCCAACGCTATCCGAGCGGCGGCTCTGGTCTAAGCCTCCATGGGCCGGTGGGGAGATCAATGGCAGCATGGAGGGAGGCAGCAGAGAACCCGGGCTAGAGTTCACTTTCCACTGAACCACCAGGGAAGGCAGCAGGACTGGGATATTAACTAATCTGCCCCCACCTCCACCCAAACATACAGCACACACAGCACCTACAGCCCACAAACAGCACCCACACACATACATCACCCTCGCACACACAGCACCCACACACATACAACACCCACACAACCCAGCACACTAACAGCATCCTCACAAACACACAAAACCCACAAACAACACCCGCACAGCACCCACACACAACACCCGCACAGCACCCACACACAAACAGCACCCTGACAAACACACAACACCCACACACAGCACACAAACAGCACACTAACAGGACCCGAACAAACACGCACACACAAACACCCTCTCACACACACACACAGCAGACTACCAGTTCCCTCACACACAGCACACAAACAGCACCCTCACACACAGCACACTAACAGCACTCTCACAAACACACACAAAAACACCCTCACCAACATAGCACACTACTAGCACCCTCACACACACACACACACACACACACACACAGCAGTGTGTATATGTGTATATATATATATATATAAATATATATATATATATATATATATATATACACACACACACACACACATACATATACACATGGCGTGTGTTTGTTCTTTAGGGTGCACACCCTAATGCAATAGGCTGTGCACGCCTATGCTCACTTCCCTAATCTATTGGCTGCCCCCCCCATGCCTCACTCCCCTAATCTATAGGCTGCTGCTTCCCCCAGCCTCACTCCCCTAATCTATAGGCTGCTGCCCCCCCAGCCTCACTCCCTAATCTATAGGCTGCTAACCCCCAAAAAGAATCTATAGGCTGCTAACCCCCCCAGCCTCACTCCCTAATCTATAGGCTGCTGCCCCCCCAAATCTATAGGCTGCTGCCCCCCCAAAAATCTATGGGCTGCTGCCACCCTCCCCAAATCTATGGGCTGCTGCCCCCACCAGCCTCCCCACTTCTAATCAACAATAGGCTGCTGCCCCCCACAGCCTCACTCCCCCTAATCTATAGGCTGCTGCCCCCCACAGCCTCACTCCATAATCTATAGGCCGCAAGCTGCCCCCAAAATCTACAGGCTGCTGTCCCTCCCCAAATCTATAAGCTGCTGCCCCTGCAGCCTCATCTCATAATCTATAGGCTGCTGTCCCCCTCAAATCTATAGGCCGCTGTCCCCCAAACCCATAGGCTGCTGCCCCCAATTCCAGGCTGCTGTCCCCCCCAAACCTATATAGGCTGCTGTGTGTCCCCCCAAATCTATAGGCTGCTGTCCCCCAAATCTATAGGCTGCTGTGGCCCCCCAAAATCTATAGGCTGCTGTGTCCCCCCTAAATCTAAAGCGCCGCCGTATCCCCCCCAAATCTATAGGCTGCTGTGCCCCCCTAGCAGAACAAGCTGAAAAATCCAGGGGAGGGTTAAGTGCCCCCCCCCCCCTGCGGACGCCCATGTGCACACCATTGTCTGTTCCAATATATACCGAAACCAATAGCACCCGATGCATCTGTGAACAGCTCCAAACTATCAAAATCTGTGAACTCCTTTGCCACATTGACCTTCCATTAAAAATTTCCATGCAAATGCCAACAAGCCTAATAAGAATTGTAGGACCTTTAGGGTCACTTGTCACATCCCATTACCTGTTGAATCAATATTTTCATCTCTGATATCTTATCTTCTGGCAACCTAAACTCCATATTTGATGAATCAATGATTATACCAAGGAATTGTAAACAACAAGTAGGTAATACCGTCTTATCTGCAGCCAAAGGGATACCCAAATTACTTGTCACCTTTTGAAAACTTTCCAACAAGCGTTGACAGTTGCCACTATCTTTTTTTTTTTTTTTTAATATTTGATTTTTATTGAAATTTTTCATATGAAAATGAACAACAATCTGGGATACAGAAAAGAAAGAAGGGAAATAAACTTTACACAGCTTTGCATAGAACATACTTAAAGGACCACTATAATGCCAGGAAAACAAACTCGTTTTCCTGGCACTATAAGGTCTTTGGGTCCCCCCCACCCTCAAGGTCCCTCCCTGGCAGGGCTGAAGGGGGAGGAAGGACTTACTCTACGCTGGGGACTCTCCTCCCTCTTCTGACGTCATCCGCCATCATCAGCAAGAGCCGTGTGCGCATTCAATTAGTCCATAGGAAAGCATTTCTCAATGCTTTCCTATGGCCGCTGGCGTCTTCTCACTGTGAAAATAACAGTGAGAAGCTCAGAAGTGTCTCTAGCGGCTGTCAGTGAGACAGCCACTAGAGGCTGGATTAACCCTATTGTAAACATAGCAGTTTCTCTGAAACTGCTCTGTTTACAGCTGCAGGGTTAATCCTAGATGGACCTAGCACCCAGACCACTTCATTGAGCTGAAGTGGTCTGGGTGCCTATAGTGGTCCTTTAACAATACGGGCAATGCACCTACACAATCAGCGCACAAGACACATAAATTTACATTTGGTCATCGCTGACGGTGTACCCTTCAAGCGTAAAGGTGAGTGATCAGAGATCCTGGTAGACTTTCATTCTCAGATGTGACAGGGTGCCATTCAAACTGTACATATCATTGTTATTTCTTGCATTTTCTGGAGTACTGAGACAACCGGGCAAGGGCCTGCCTTATTTGCTGCCAAAACGGCACCAATGTGAGGCGATCCCCAAAAATGTGTTTGAGAGATCCTGCGTGTAGGCCACACCACCAGCACAAAGGGGAAACATTGTGGTACATATGTGGCAGCCGAGCCGGGACCAAATACCACCTCATTAGGAGCTTGCAATATGCCTCCCAGTAGGATAGACTATGGGAGGATGCTCCAGTGGTTTGTATGGCTTGAAGCCATAGTGAGGTAGGGATAGTGGTATCGAAGTCCTTCTCCCACTGTTCTATGTAGGTGTGTTTGGTCAGTGGGTCAGCATTGTTTATGGTGTTATAGCACAGGGAGAGTGGTTTTGTTTTTGTACTCTTGCCTATACAGTGCAGTCCAAAGTTAGTGAGTCGAGACACTTGACAGTGATGTACGTTGTGTGAGATTGTTATGTGCTTTAGTCTAATGTAAGTGAAGATATCTTTAGCTGGTAGTGCAAATTCTTTTTGCAGCTCTGGATATGGCTTAAGACCTTGTGGTGTGTATAAATTGTGTATGGATTCTACCCCTTTTTATATCCAAGGTCTTATGGGTATGTCGTCCGATAGTGGCGAAAGGATGTTTGTGGGGGCAAAAAATATGAGATTGTCCGTTCCTGTGAGGGCCCACTTCACCAGCTGCGGATCAGAAAGCGCGTGCTAGGTATGGGTCCGTGCTTTTTAGGGTCCCATTTCGTGCATGACCTCCGCATGTGTAAGCATGCATCCTCCAGGTGGAGCCAAATTGGTGGTTTGGCATTTGACAGCCGCTTTGTAATAAGATTTCACGCTAGGGATACCTAAACCTCCATTTGCTGGTGTTTGCCAGGTTAGGCGCCTTGATATTCTTGGTTCTTTTTATTTACAAATGTATGAGTTGAAGATGGTTTGGAACCTCTTCAGGAGTTTGTCTGGTAGATCCACAAGTATGGTACGAAAAAGGTATAGTACATGGGGTAGCGCCATCATTTTGGTAGTATGTATCCTCCCTAGCCATGACACCTTCAGACCCTGCCATGTATCTAATTGGTCATGTAATTTGTGGATTAAGGGCATTTGGTTCTATTGAATTAGTTGTGCGTCTGATTTTGCTAAATTGATGCCAAGATATTTAAGAGAGTTGTCCTCCAGTCAAAGGGGTGGGAGTTTAAGGATTGCACTGTAGAGGAGGGGATGCTAATGGGCAGTGCCTGGGTTTTCGTGAGGTTGTTCTTGTAATAGGAGATCTTCCCATATTGAGTCAGGAGGTCCATCAGATTCGTAATGAATAGGTGTGGGTTAGGTTTAGCAGGACATCGTCCGCGAACAGTGCAATTTTTTGGACCCCGGCTGGAGTGGTGAGACCCCTGATACTCGGATGGGACTTTATGTGGTGAATGACTGGTTTGAGGCTTAGAATAAACAAGAGAGGTGAAAGTGGGCACCCCTGGCGGGTGCCATTGCTAATATCGAACGGCTTGGATAGGAATCCAGAGTTGAAGACTCTTGCTGATGGGGCTTGGTAGAGGGCCATAATTCCTCCCAAGGTGGAGGCTGAGAAGCCCAGTTTCGTGAGCGTCAGCTTCATATATTCCCAGTTCAGGCAGTCGAACGCCTTTTCGGCATCGAGCGCCAGAACCGTCCCACCATGTTCGCTGATCTTGGCCCAATTGATTACATTTATAAATTGTCTGGTATTATCGCCTGCTTGCCTGCCTGGCACAAAAACTGCTTGTTCCTCCGACACAAAGCCTGCTAGCAGGGGTTTTATCCTATATGCCCACAATTTTGCATAGAGTTTTATATCTGCGTTTTAAAAGGATATGGGTCTAAGATTTTCACAGACAGTGGGTGATTTGTGTAGCTTGGGGAATGTTACCACATGCGTCTCTAACATCTCTTTAGGCATTTAATTGAAAAGCACAGTGAGGAATGGGGTCAGAGTTGGTTCTAATTTATGGTAATAGTAATTAGAAAGCCCATCCGGGCTAGGGGCCTTGTGTTTTGGTATAGAGTGTATTGCACATTTGACTTTGTCTTCTGTGAATGGGTTGTCAAGTGACAAGCTCTGGTGTTGGGTAAGGTGAGGTAGTGTTGCGCCCTCTAGAAAATAGTGTATGTTGTCTGTGGACGGGTATGGGATTTATTGGTCATCTTTTAGGTTGTATAGGTTGTGGTAATACTGCGCTAGTTCATTGACAATGTCCCCTGGGTTGTACAGGGTAAGTTAATAAAGGGGATTTTAGATTGGAGTTGTTTGGCCTTAAGCTTGTTGGCTAGAAGTCTTCCTGCCTTATTACCTTGAGTGTAATATGTCAGTTTCAGGGACCTCATCCATCGTTCAGTTGTGATAAGGGAGAGAGAGTATAGCTCACTCTGAAGTTCCCCTATATGTTTGGTGAGTATTTTTGATGGTTTCAATTTATTCTGTGCTTCTAACTCTGTTAATTCCTTCATTAGTGTGTTGTGTGTGTCTGCTGTGATTTTCTTCCGTTTTGAGCCCTCCCTAATGAGCACCCCTCTTATCACCGCTTTGTGTGCTACCCACACCATGCTAATAGGGATATCAGCTGAGGTATTATCTTTAAAGTACTCTGAGGCTTCCCTAGTTACCACGGTCAGCACCGGGACAGTATCCAACAGCCCTTCATTGAGTCTCCAAAAAAATAAAAGTTATTTGGTCTTCATTTGGGGCGTATAGACACACAGTGGTGACTAAAAAGCTGTTCAGGGATCCCACAAAAACTAACAGTCTGCCCAATGAGTCTGTAAATCTCTTGTTTTCCTGGAAAACCCAGTCTGTGTGGAAGAAAACGGAGACCCCTTTAGATTTACTCGGGAAATAGGCATGGAAGGCTTGGGGGTACTTTTTAGTTTAGATTTGTGGGGGTTTGCGGGTGCATACGTGGGTTTCTTGAAAACACACTATAGCTGCATTGGACTTTATCATTTCTTGGATCGCTAGGTGTCTTTTGTGAGGACTATTGAGGCCCTTTACGTTAAGGAAGTAGACCTTAAATGAGGATGTCATTGTGGGCATTATAGATCTGCTTATTGTTTTGTAGCTTTGCCTCTATGCATCTTACTTTTCCCCCCTTAGGCCGTTGTTGCCCCTGACCGCATATATGCGTGGAGCATGACTGTTCATGGCTTGACGGTGACTGCCGCCTGTTGGGCAGTCCTCGGAAGGGTAACAGTGAGCTGGAGAGTTCGTATTGCATGTTATGCGCCACATTGTAATTCAGTTTGTGACACCGGCATATCGTTTGGGTCTTAGGAAGGCTCAAAATATAAGTAAAAACAAACCATATTAAACTATACAAATAATAGGATATATACAAGACTCCTTTGCATTTTTCGCAAAGAAAGAGATCAGTTCGGGAGTGTAATGATACACTGCACATGTCACGGACGAGGAGGGGTGGTGGGTGTCCCACCGACTTGTAGCCCATAGTGACTGTGTGGATTGTCAAGACTTTAAATGTGAATGATGTTTAAACATAAAAACGGAAATCTAAATATTAATAAAAATACAGAACCCCACTGCTTAATTGAAATATAGTGGCAAATGTCTGTCAGTGTTGGCGGCCATGGGCCCAGTTTGACTGTTCATCCCGGTCCCCGGCACCAAGCACCCCTTAAAGGGGGGGAGACCTATCGGTATGGGAGAGAGTTATATGTCATAAAATGACATTTTATGATTCTATATACCAGCTATACTGAGCAAGTTATATCTTTGGTTGTCTAGGTCGGCACGGCATTGTGATGGGTTATTCTGGCACACTTAAGTTCGCTCGGGTATTTCAGGTCTATGGGGGGCATTTGGGTGCATTACCAAGGTGTGCGGGCGGCACAGACACACCACTTGTAGGGCTGTTTTCTTTTAAAGACGCCTGGTGCTTTTTGTAAGTAGCTGTGAACGCTAGTGTCAGGCCCTGGATCACCGTTAGCTGTTGTATCTAAACCCTAGTCTTCTCAGATGTCCCCTTACTGCCACGTGCCCACCTCCCCCCCAAGCTTAAGACATTGCCACTAACAGTTAGTAAGTCAGTTAATACATATAGCTACTTTCAGTAGTCAAGGGAGTAACGGTTAACAATAAAACATCAATAAACATTTTGTGACACTCAGTTGTTCTATGGAGACTTGATGTGACCCTGGCTGTGGGTTATTCAGCGGCTTTGGCATTCAGCTTAGCTGGAGAACCCGCTAGTGTCCATTCAGGTCTCATCTTTTTCGGTGGAGGCCTTTCTGTAGAGGATTGTCCCATAGCGTGGTGTAGGCCATTTACACTGAGATTTATTATATGCCCAAAAACCCCTTTTTCCTGTGTGGTATCTGTACTAACCTGTCTCTTAGCATAAACTGGCCGTCTCTGAGGTAATATGCTCAGCCATAACCCTTTATCTTTCATTCCCCACTTCAAGCTACTAGGAACTGTTAATATTTGACGGAATTGTTAGACATAAAAAAACAAGAAACACCCCCCAAAAAAATTCTGTATGCTTTCAAAATAGCTACTGCAATTCTGGATATTTTTCACCTAGCACACTAGAATAGATACAAAAGGCTTGAAGCCAATTGTTAAATGACCTGGGTATAATGCTTTTCCTCTCCTTATCCCCTTTTTCTATATCCGGTTTAGTAAATTATTTTGCTGTAGGTGATAGTGACAGGATAGCAATGTACTCCCCCTTCCATATTCTATCTTTTATTGTTTTACTTAAATGAAAACCTAGAGGTGAACTTTCACATCCTAACGCTTCCTTCATACAAGTTTCCTTCACTCTAACCACCTCCCTCACAGACTGCGACACTTTAGGACGAACTGTGACTATTTCTTTACCTTTGTTCAAAACTCTCGCTAAACTAGGTGTCTGTAATAATTTAGTAATTTTCTCAAGTTAAGAAACTACCTTACCTAAAACAGCATTATTCACAGTTTCTTGTGACTTACCCAGCTCACGACTGTGACCCATGACCTCCTGGGCAGCTTTGCTCTCTTCATACAGCCTAAGTCTCTCATCAGCCTCTTTATTCTTCTTCTTTTGTTCAGATTTCCTGCTTTGTTTCCACTGCCTCTTCTTGCTTATTGAAGATGGTGAAAAAGTCTCCCAGGATCTTTTTGTCCTTGCCTCACGCTCATCAAAATTTTATTCCTGCACTGGCCCCTTAATTGTTGGAGGATAACAACCTGTACCCTCCTCCATTGCAAGCTCCTCCTGCAGTTCAACCCCTTCCTCTTCTACCTCATTTAGACATGAAGTACCAGGGGCTGACTCTAGACAGGCTTGCAGCCACTCTGCATCTCCACAGCTTCTTTTTGAGCTGTTCTAACAGAGCCTTAACTGTACCAGACATTTTTTTAAGGTAAGAGCTGCAGATCAAATACTTACAAACAGCCAACCTTTTAATTGTCTGGTTCAAGCTGAGCTTAATAAATTTTGGCGCCTTTTGATTTATATGCCTGCAATTTCCGCCACTAGATGACGATACACCAATTGGGATCAGCCCTGGGCACGAGTCTCCCACCCAACAAGCAGCGCGCGCCTCTACAAATCTTAACTTACCCACTGGCCTCTGCTCCATCTAACCCCATGAGGCTGCTCCTCATTCGTCTGCCTGCCGGACATTCCCTAACTGTGGCATGTTCAACCACCCTCACACTTACTCCCCAAACCCTATTACAGTTTCCAAAAGATGTCTGTGTGTGTGTGTGTGTGTATGTGTCCGTGTCTACTCGGGCACATCGGTCATTGACGAGGGCCCGTGGCAGTCAGGGGCCTGGATGCATAGACAGGCCCTTGGATCTCCTATCTGGCCCAGCATTATTTATTGTGCTTTATTCTGGCGAAAGTTAGGGGCCCCTGCCATGGCAACACTCCACACAGCACTCCGCTCAGGAGCAGTAAAGACAGCCTGCAGCCAGAGGAGCTGCAGGCTATATAGATCACCACTGGACCACCAAGACTGGCTCCCTCCCCCACCTCCCTTTCACTACAGTGAGGGCATGCAGAGGTTATTAATGTACATTTAGTATTTTTTCACACACACGGCACCACTCACCCACACACAACACCTCTCACACACAGACAGCTCCCTGCACTTACACTACCCCTGATTTACAGCATCCCTCGCTGAGAGCACCCCACACACACAGCACCCCTACACAACTTACTGCAGTCTGTGTGTGTATTCAGCAGTCTGTGTGTGTGTGTATTCAGCAGTCTTTGCGTGTGCTTTTGTGTGTGTATCCAGCGGACTCTGTATGTATTTAGCAGTCTGTGTGTATTCAGCAGTCTGTATGTATTCAGCAGTCTGTATGTATTTATTGCATTTGTTGGAGGTATCAATAAATATAAGCTTAATTTTATCGATAATTTACATTTTTATTCCTGTGAGTTGTTGTGTAGGCAGGGCCCCAGAGCACTGCTTTGCCCGGGGGCCCATAATGCTGTTAAGATGGCACTGCAGTACAGGTGCTTTATGTGGGATGAATAGACAGGCCCTTGACATCACATACTCTGCTCTCATTCCACACATGCAGAGCAAATAGGGGTGACATGGGACATAGATATGTGAGGCTGTGGCTGTAGATAAGGTGAGGTGGAAGAGAGAAATGTGGGTCTGTGGATGTAAAGAGGGTGAGGTGGGAGAAAGAAATGTGGGTCTGTGGATGTTAACAGGGTGAAGTGGGAGAAAGAAATGTGGGTCTGTGGGGGTAAACAGGGTGAGGTGGGAGAGAGAAATGTGGGTCTGTGGGTGTAAAGAGGGTGAGGTGGGAGAGAGAAATGTGGGTCTGTGGGTGTAAAGAGGGTGAGCTGGGAGAGAGAAATGTGGGTCTGTGGGTGTAAAGAGGGTGAGGTGGGAGAACGAAATGTGGGTCTGTGGATGTTAACAGGGTGAAGTGGGAGAAAGAAATGTGGGTCTGTGGGTGTAAAGAGGGTGAGGTGGGAGAGAGAAATGTGGGTGTAAAGAGGGTGAGGTGGGAGAGAGAAATGTGGGTCTGTGGGTGTAAAGAGGGTGAGGTGGGAGAGAGAAATGTGGGTCTGTGGGTGTAAAGAGGGTGAGGTGGGAGAAAGAAATGTGGGTCTGTGGATGTTAACAGGGTGAAGTGGGAGAAAGAAATGTGGGTCTGTGGGGGTAAACAGGGTGAGGTGGGAGAGGGAAATGTGGGTCTGTGGGTGTAAATAGGGTGAGGTGGGAGAGAGAAATGTGGGTCTGTGGGTGTAAAGAGGGTGAGGTGGGAGAGAAAAATGTGGGTCTGTGGGTGTAAAGAGGGTGAGGTGGGAGAGAGAAATGTGGGTCTGTGGGTGTAAAGAGGGTGAGGTGGGAGAGAGAAATGTGGGTCTGTGGGTGTAAAGAGGGTGAGGTGGGAGAAAGAAATGTGGGTCTGTGGATGTTAACAGGGTGAAGTGGGAGAAAGAAATGTGGGTCTGTGGGGGTAAACAGGGTGAGGTGGGAGAGAGAAATCGTGGGTCTCAGGGTGCAAAGAGGGAGGTGGGGAGAGGAGAAATGTGGGTCCAGGGTGTAAAGAGGGTGAGGTGGGAGAGAGAAATGTGGGTCCAGGGTGCAAGCAGGGTGAGCTGGGAGAGAAATGGGTCTGTGGGTGTGAGGGTGAAGGGAGAAAGAAAATGGGTCTGTGGGGTAAACAGGGTGAGGTGGGAGAGAAATGTGGGTCTGTGGGTGTAAAGAGGGTGAGGTGGGGAGAGAGAAATGGGGTGGGTGTAAAGAGGGTGAGGTGGAGAGAGAAATATGGTCTGTGGGTGCAAGAGGGTGAGGTGGGAGAGAAATGTGGGTCTGTGGGTGCAAAGAGGGTGAGGTGGGAGAGAGAAATGTGGGTCTGTGGGTGTAAAGAGGGTGAGCTGGGAGAGAGAAATGTGGGTCTGTGGGTGTAAAGAGGGTGAAGTGGGAGAAAGAAATGTGGGTCTGTGGGGGTAAACAGGGTGAGGTGGGAGAGAGAAATGTGGGTCTGTGGGTGTAAAGAGGGTGAGGTGGGAGAGAGAAATGTGGGTGTAAAGAGGGTGAGGTGGGAGAGAGAAATATGGGTCTGTGGGTGTAAAGAGGGTGAGGTGGGAGAGAGAAATGTGGGTCTGTGGGTGTAAAGAGGGTGAGGTGGGAGAAAGAAATGTGGGTCTGTGGATGTTAACAGGGTGAAGTGGGAGAAAGAAATGTGGGTCTGTGGGGGTAAACAGGGTGAGGTGGGAGAGGGAAATGTGGGTCTGTGGGTGTAAATAGGGTGAGGTGGGAGAGAGAAATGTGGGTCTGTGGGTGTAAAGAGGGTGAGGTGGGAGAGAAAAATGTGGGTCTGTGGGTGTAAAGAGGGTGAGGTGGGAGAGAGAAATGTGGGTCTGTGGGTGTAAAGAGGGTGAGGTGGGAGAGAGAAATGTGGGTCTGTGGGTGTAAAGAGGGTGAGGTGGGAGAAAGAAATGTGGGTCTGTGGATGTTAACAGGGTGAAGTGGGAGAAAGAAATGTGGGTCTGTGGGGGTAAACAGGGTGAGGTGGGAGAGAGAAATGTGGGTCTGTGGGTGTAAAGAGGGTGAGGTGGGAGAAAGAAATGTGGGTCTGTGGATGTAAAGAGGGTGAGGTGGGAGAAAGAAATGTGGGGGTAAACAGGGTGAGGTGGGGCAGAGAAATGTGGGTCTATATGTAGAAATAGGGTGAGATGGGAGAGACACATGTGGAGGGTGTAGGAAGCACAAAGGTAGATGGAGCAAAGATACAATTGGGGTGAGTCTGATGTGGAGACCAATAAGGTATGACAGAGAAAACACATAATGAAAACAAAATCACACTAAAAAGAAAATTGCATGCAAACACAAAACTAAGTTCATGCACATGGTGACACACTGCTGCTGTGTTTTCAGACTGATAATAAGGCAGGTGCATGGGGAAAATGTTCGGTTTGGCATTCCGAAATTCGTGACTTCGGCAAATTTTGCATTTCGATACTTCGGAATTTCGGGACTTCTCTTGCAGCTGCTTAGTAGATAACTCCCTAATTCCCACGGTATTAGGGAGTTATCTACCAAAAGGCTGAAAGACCTAAATTGGTCTTTGAGACAAATTTACTAATGCTAAGTAAAAATTACTTAGTATTAGTAAATTTTGCCCCTACTCGCTATACCGCCTGTGGCTACTCACTGTTATAAAAAAAAAAATAAAGAAAAAAAAAGGTCCCCCCTCCTGAGCCCCCTCCCACAACGCGCGAGCCAACGCGCGAACCAATCCCCCCACCCCTGAGCGGCAGATGGGGGCCGTAAAGTAAAATTATGGGGGGGCCTATTGTCCTCCCCCCCCTGAGCTCAGGGGTGGGGGCCCTAAATTAGAATAAGAGGGGTAACCTAATGTCCTTTCCCTGGCCCCCACCCTTGAGCGGTGGGTGGGGGCTCTAAATACCAATAAGGGGGGGAGACCTAATGTCCTCCCCCTGGCCCCCCACCCCTGAGCGGTGGGTGAGGGCCCTAAATTAGAATAAAGGGGGGAACCTAATGTTCTCCCCCCTGAGTGGTGGGTGGGGGCCCTAAATACTAATAAGGGAGGGGACCTAATGTCCTCCCCTCTGGCCCCCACCCCTGAGCGGTGGCCCTAAATACTAATAAGGGGGGAACCTAATGTCCTCCACCCTGGCCCCCACCCCTGAGCGGCGGGTGGGGGCCCTAAGAAAAAATGTTACCCCCACAGGTGACTAGGCATCCCCAAACCACTAGTCACCCCCCCCCAAAAAAAATTAACCCCTACCTACCCCCCTCACCCTAAAAATAATGAGGGGAGGGTACCTGGAAAAAAAAAAAAAAAATTACCATTTGATGTTTTCTTTCTTCTAAAATCTTCTTTTTTCAGCCCCAAAAAGGGCCAAATAAAAAACCCCATAATAACCGACGCACTAAAAAAAAAAAAAAAAAAAAAATCTTCACCCATGGAGGGCTCTGCACAGACTGAGCTCTGCAGGGCGGGGGAAGGCTTATAAAGCCTTACCCTGCCCTGCAGTTAGGCTCAGAGCACTTTGATTGGTGGGTTTAAGCCATCCAATCAGAGTGCTCTGACAGGTAAATGAAGAGACTGACAGGTAAGTCTCTACATTTACCTTTTTTTTTAAAACACTGTTTAATAGACATGCCCCTACTTGCGGTATAGCGAGTAGGGGCATCATTTACTAATACTAAGTAATCTTTACTTAGCATTAGTAAATTTGGCTGAAAGACCAATTTAGGTCTTTCAACCTTTTAGTGGATAGCTCCCTAATACCGTGGGAAGTAGGGAGTTATCTACTTATTCATTCCTGTCATTACACTGACTGGCTAAGTAACTTACATTTTATATGAATGTATGTTACTTGATTGTTGTAAGTGTTGCAAATGCTTACAGCTGAATCCTGGCTATGTTTGTATACTTTATTTAAAATTGTATACAGTGTAACATTTTTCATTCTTACACTGGGTAAGTATATTAGTTCTTAGGCAATACTGTGGGACTTCGACCATTCGGCAATCGGACATTCAGAGGTACCCGACTGTCCGAATTGCCCGAAATTTGTCCGAATTCACATTCACATTCGAACAACGAATTGCACATGTCTACTGATAATCTACAAGCATACAGTTTTGCATTTGCACACATACTGACACTACTCACAAATAGACTACTACAGTCACACACTGATACGGATTGCTCAAATAAATACAATAAGATTCTGATCATTAATACACACAAACATTCACACACCAACAATCCACTTAAATTTACACACAGCTTCTTTCACACAAATACATTTTGGATCCCTTCATTTACATAGACACAAACACTACACACAAATACACTCTTCGGCATACTGACACTTCGTACAAATATACCCCTGCATTCACATGCCATAATTCCCTATAAATAAACCCTTGCATTCACAGATATGTTTTATATTCTAATAAAATACTGCCTATTTTCATACATGTACACTACATTTATATAAACTCCTGCATTTTATACTCCCTGGCACTACACAAAATATTCTCTGGGTTTCACACAGCATTACACAAATTATAATTATACAAATTAGATTGAGCAGCCATGAGCTCAATCATGACTGTAACAGAAGCTCCCATGCCGAGGCTTTTGTAGATACTTGAAGGCCAACCACTTGCCCACAGACTATGGTCCTGGTTCAAAGAGACCCTGAAAGGGGCTTGTGACGATAGCAATCCATTCACAAACTATGCATTGTTAGTTTGAGAACTCTGCAGCACCCTCTGCTGACCTAATAGAAATGTGTATATTTACTTAATGTTAGCATGCACATTTGTGCAACCAAATAAGTAGTTAAATGTATATATTGTTGATTTTTGTATTTGAAAAAGTTACTTGTATTATATATTTAATGAATTATAATTGCTCGTCCGCCAGTGTTCTGTATATTTGTATTTTAAATGCTTGTTTAAGGACAAGTCCGCAAAGGCTAAAGGCTTGTCCAAAAATAAAGAATTGTGTGTTAGTTCCATCGGGAACTAGGTGTCTTGGCTGGTTTCTTCAGGGACCCAATAACAGTTTTGTGACCGGTTGGTTGGCTGCATTAGTCCCTGATTCCCAGGATGAGTTTTGACAGATCTAGGCCTGAGAGCCACAGCTAAAAAGGCAGTAGTTTGAGACCATGTAGGCAGAGTAGTATATGCATTTTCTGTTCCTCTCCCAGGCAGGTAAAGGCAGAGGGGATGATACCTGCCTGGAAGGAGAGAGCTGCAGCCTGGTCCAGTGGAATAAGTCCTCAGAAACTCCAGTCAAGCTTCGGCCACTAGGTTTGAAGCGCTCCAGAGTCCCTGGCAATAGATAGAAAGCTGACCTGGTGAAGTACGGGAGCTTGTCAGTCATAAAGAGACTCAAATTGTTTGGATCACATCTCTCAACTCTGATGTCCCTCTCCTCTGACCCATGTGACAGCATGGCGTAGGCCTCCCTCGCAGTGTAATGGTCCATGGCATCTTTTTAAGTAAAATATTTTTTTCCCTACCCGCTTAACACACATTCCTGTTGGGGAAAATATTATGATTATATCTGTCTGATTAATATGTGCTTGATTAAGTCTGTGTGTTTAGGAGATCAGGAATTATCTTCAAAGAGAGTTTCTGTTTAGATAGTTGGAAAGATACAGCACCTGACAGGCACCGCTACATCCTTGGGAAAGTTTATCATATTTACATATCAATTAGTCTTCAAATGAGTCTCTATTTAGCAAAACACACCTTAGGGTAGAGGCAAGGGAATGGCTGGGAGAGTTCACATGTAAATAAAAGGACAGGATAGACAACACTTTGGGCCTTGGGAAAGTAAATGACATTTACATATCAATTGAGCTGAGGAATTGGCAATTCACAACATGGGAACCAATTCCTTTAAAAATAGAATATACTGATATCACATTAGACTAGGTTGGTAAGACACACGCGGAACATCACATACACAATGTAGCAGATATAATTAGATAGTTGGAGTGTGTGAGCGTTATCAATGTATTATAACTCTGTAATACTATAACTCTGTAACATTCTTCTTCTGTAATATTTAACTGGGCAGATTCTAAGTAAAGTTTTCTCTCTGGTATGAACTATGGTGGTGGCTGTTTATTTGTAATATCGGGTAGAATACCTTAGTAGTGCTAGTCCTATATTTATCTGGGCAACGGGATAAAGATATATGTTAGTTCTTGGAAGAGGTGACACAGGGATATTACATTCACTATTAATAACAACGCAGAGTGGATTTCTCTCAAAAGGATACCAGTTGGAAGTATTGGTGGTGAGAGAAGAATTATACAACAACTCCCTCAATCCAACCCCTAATTATTACTTCCAACCACAAAACCCTACACCCAAAAGGAAAAATTAACCGATCAGAGAAGAAAACGCCGCTATCAGCACTAAAAGTGTTATTTATTATTATTTTTAAAGTAAAGTGGGGTAAAAAAATAAATAAAAAAAAATCAGGGTAGGCAAGATAAAACATTGACACTAAATTGCATAGAGGGCAGGAATGTGTTAACAAGAACGATACAGTGTTAAGTTTTGTTTTTTTTAATAAAAAAATTAATTCTGACAAAAAAAAGTTTTTCGAAAATCAGCAGTGAAAGGATTAAATAAACATTTTTTCCCCCATTTTTTATTTTTATTTGCATATCTATTGCGTTAGATCTCATTTGTACTAGAAGTGTCTGTGTACCCTGTTCCTTTGAAAATTCTAGTAAAACCTACTACAAAAAAAAAAAAATACAAATCTAACTACTTTATATAGCAGTATACCTTAGAGATAAAGAATGCTACTTTAAAAATGAAACAAACTACATTTAGTGTCAGCAGTAGGGATTTAAATAGTTTATTTTGCCCAATAAAGTACCCTTCAGCATAATGACATTTTCTTATACAGATACAATTGAACATTTTTCCTTTAAAACATTAATGTATAATACAATTATTAAATACATTTTGCTGGAAAAGTGGCCAGCATCTAGGCCTCTGCAACAGCAAATGGGTATCCCTTTGAGTGCCCCATGGATAGGTAACAAGATTCTTCAATATGTTCTATCATTAGTTCAGCATTAAGAGTTTTAATTTTGTTTTACAGGTATTAGAAGTGTAGTCCTTTTTATTTACAAAATAATACCTCCGTGAATTCATTTTTAATTCTCCCCATGCCGTCATGATAGAATCTAGTTCATGTACACAATAGTAAAATGAACACAGTCCAACATGTGTCTTTAACTATAGTTTTTGTGTTCTAGGTTTCACTTGTAGATCAGATAAAATCAGATGGACGTTTACATACGAAATGTCAGACCCTGCAAACACATATCCCTGTAATCACCCTTTAAAAGAGGTTTTTAGCAGTCAGTAGGAAAGAAGAATTTTAGCGCTCAAATCAAAACTGTCTTTGGACTGAAGAAGTGAATAAAGGATAGAATTGCAACAATAAAAAAGGTGCAAAATGTAAATGCCCGTAAACATGTCTTTTTGGGTTTGCTTATTTTTTTAACCAATCTAGGGTTCTGAACAATATCGATCAGATATCTGTAGCCATGCTGTTCGGTTTGTAATTTGTTTTAATGTATATAATTATGTGGACTTTTTACAATGTGCACCGGCTGACACCGAGTAAATCTACCCACTAACTACTGGCTAAAGCTGGAACAGGTATAGTATAGAAATTGCTATTTTTTTCCCCAATCAGAGCAATCACAATGTAGTAAATTAAAAGTTCTTTTCGCCAATATTTTACTATGGAAAACGTTTTTCTAACTGAATTCTATGACAGCTCAAGTAAAGTAACCAACTAAGGTTGAAAATAGAGCTTTATTTTAAAATGAGGTGCAAGTTATTGCTAAAACCTTCATGAATTGCTAATTTACAGTTTTTTTTAATATTTATAATAAAAATTAAAGATATGCTTGTATTTAAACCTACTTTTAACACAGTAAAGGAGTTTAAGCATGCATGGGATAGGCATAAGGCTATCCTAAGCATAATATAAGGCCAGGGACCAATGAAAGTATTTAGAAAATTGGGCAGACTAGATTGGCCGAATGGTTCTTATCTGCCATCACATTCTATGTTTCTATGTGGATAGAACTGGTTTTCTCATAATAATAAATTATGGCTACATGATGTAAATATTTGGTGTTTCTTCCAGATGGAATTGGTTGTGTGTGTTTGTTGCACATTTGTTATAGTTTTGGAGGTTTTAATATATAAAATAAACCATTTAAAAAAAAAAACACAACTAGTAATGAATTAATAATATAGTGACATTTCAAAGTGGACACCACTTAAATAAATATCAAATTAGAATTCCTTGTAATAGGAATTTGTAAAAACAGATAAATAAAACAAAACAATTTAAACACTGCATTGTCATAACTACTCCATTAATAAAGGGCAATTCTTATTTTTCTTTTGTCACTCAATCCCTGCAACTGAGAGTCACTAATAATCTGGTATACAGTGATTTTAAAGTACTGGCATCTAACACAAGCCAACTTCATACTCAATATTGATGTTCTATTACCATATGGAGTGGCTCAGAAAGTTCTAGATCTGTGGGAACATGTTTCAGAGCAAGTCAATTCATGTATTGCATGACAGTTTTGCAAAATGGTTTTACAATATTACATTTCTGAAGAACTCGTCATGTTTCTTGTAACCTTTTATCAGTGTTAAAAACATGTTTTGGATTTTTTTTTGAGTTAAAAAGAAGTATCTTTGATGATCAGAATACACATTGTTTTTTCAATGTTTTATTACACTTTTGATCCATTTCACAGTTAATATCTATTTACAGATTCTTTGATTGTTAAACTTTGAGGCAGCAGATAAAGTCACACACTCACAGAAATTGAAAATGGCATACGATTTTAAAACGGTTAGGCTATCATGAGGGATGGACTAGTTATCTACATAAATCTACATCAGGTAAAGACACTATCCTTGTTAAACAAAACCAAAAAAAAACCCTTATTGTTCAAAAATAAACAAAACTTTAGGAGAAGAGAGCATGTTTGCCACTTATGTGCAATAAGTACCAAGTCAAGCAAACCACATTAGAGGCCACTTCATTTGGATAAAAACACACATTTCCTAGAAATTAAATTAACAGATTATGAAATGTTGATCCGTATCTTAAGTCATTTTGCCAGCAACCATTTAGAAACAAGATGTGAGCAGCCATTTTGTAAGCGACTTTGTACGCTTAATTAGCTGTCTGATGGCTACCCTATTTCCCAAAGATTATGCAGTAAAAACCATGAAATGATTTCTTCAAAAACATGTGCGTTTTTAATGCATTTCTTTCTGGTAACATAGAATTGCTTATTTACAGGCACATACATTTTAATAATGCCCATACCTGGCAGGACATACATTAAAATAAAAACAAGACCTGTTTTCATTTAACAGGAAAATAAACGTGTAATTGAAGCCAGCAATACGAATTCCTAAAATGTCCATTTAGAATAAAATACATTAAAATTTTCGTGAGGGTAGGGGAAAAAAATTGCAAGACATATAAACAAAGAGAAGAAATTCCAGCAGCAATTTTAACATGGTTTTAATAGTATGATTGAGACTTATGAAAGTGGACATACTGCACTCAAGTTCCGAGAACCGGTCATGAATATGAATGGCAGTTTATACAGGTGTAGAGTACATTGATAATCTTCCTAAAGACTTATTTTGCTAAGAAACTTGACAAAAGCAATTTGCGTTTTCAGCTGCTCACCCATGGAGCAAATCTATTTGATGGGGTTATTGATCAGTGCCCTTTCTATACAACCCCAGTACTATAATACCCACACATAGAACAAAATACGCACGATTGCCTCTTCTGAACATTCTATATGTTCTATAGTAAATTTCTAAATGACATTTACCTGGTTGCAATGGTTTATGAAAATTGTTGTGCTCACTAGGGATGGGCAAAAGCTTAGTTTTAGTCTAGAGTAAACTCCTGTGAGCAAAGTATGCTCTATCGTAATCTTGAAATTGCTCCTTCAAGACTTATACAGAACTGCTCTTTTTGCTGAAGCATTCATGAAAAAGATTTTTTGGGACCAAGTAGGCAGATGTTTACATTAATACTCAAGCATTCACTGCAAATCATACTGCCAGTCACAATCTTTTTTATAAAGTCCAAAATAGAATGTGCATATTTTACAGTAGGCCACAGAATAAAGGAATGTGTTTCATTGCCAGAAAACAGGAGAAACTTAAATATTGCAGGTAGCAATACAGAGATGTTCTGAATCTAGAGGAGAGGCACTGAATCTTATCAGAGATGCATTACTGTAGCTGGAGGTGTCATTACAAGAATAACTCATTTGTCCAGCCTTTTTACCCTGCTCCTGGAACCAAATGATGACATAACATGCATGACGTGCAAACATTTTAGTGGTTATCAGCCATCCTAACCAATTTCCTTCCTTCTTGGAAAAGTTCCTTCCCCCCCCCCCCCCCCCACCTCTAGTAATCACAGGTACCTCACTGATCATAAAGAAGATTTCCACCAAATGAGCCAAGGTACCATAACAAATGCCAACAAGAAATGTCTGGATAAATGTCAAATAGTCTTTGGTTAGCACAAGTAGAACATTAACTCCCTTATTATCCTTTGATGTATAAATGCTAAAGATTATTATTACTATTTTTATAAACACCTAATATACATTTATGCTGGAGTTGTAGTAGCCTGAATGCATTCAGGTATCTGACTTTTTTATTTTTATTTTTTTAGGTAGGATTTTACTTTTGCAGGTAAACTATAGACTACAGTAGTGATTTATTAACCCTTTTTCGATCGCTATGAAAGTGCAAAGCTGCAATATTGCAGTGTTTTGATAAATAATATTGCAAAGTAATATATAGAGTAATATAATCTAAGTCCACCAGTACGTGCCACGCATCTTTAATGATTGCTTGTTTTTACATTTTATTATGAACCGTTAGGCCCTTTGAGTCCCAGAAGATTTAGCAGAGCCACCTGCTCTAAAAGGAAATGAGTATACAATGTCAAGTCATCATTCACTGACATCTAACTGATTTCATTACAGTAGGAAAGTACAAAATATAATCCTAATATCCTACACTTTGTTTAACCAATGCCACAATCTTACATATATATATACACATTGAATGATGTGAAGGAATGTAGCAGGTTCTGTTAAGATAAGTGGCAATTCTATGCATTAGCTTTGGCCTCCAAATAGGCATGATACTTGTAGATACAGATAGGGGAGTGTAGGCCATTTTTGACGTAGGGGGGATCCTACATATAGATTGCCTTTTTGTTGCGCAAGAAACCCACAGATCTCTGTGAATGGTCCTAGTCACATGGAGCATTCACTATATGGATTTGATAGATGAATGCTTTTGGGGTTGCTAGGTGTGGCATCATATATCTCTGCAACCACCATAAGTATGACCTGTGTAGCAGGACTGATTATTAACAATGATCTCTGCATGTCTAAAAGAGAAACCCATGCTACCAATGACGTCGGTCTTTTAGAAAATGAGCAGGGTCTCATTTCAGACTGCAGTCACTTGTAGAAACCTCATAATCCAGCAGCATGGTCAACCCTTAGTCCACTGGGAAATACGTTTATGGACCAGTCCATGAAGGTGATCATAGACACTGCAGCGGCTACAAAACCCAACAGTGCTGAGCAAAGGCCCTGGATAATTCTTGCCTGCTGCTTCACTCCTGTTCACACCAATGAACATCCCAATGCACACCTAACATTTTAATACAGTGTGAAGCTGCAGCCATTGATAGCCCTGCCATGTTTGTTCAGTGGCCCTGTGCAAGACTCCCATGGAAAAAGATGACATACTATCTAACTATAATTTTGATAGCCACGTAACTGCCCAATTACAGAATGCTATATATTTAAATCTAGACTCGCAGCAAGTTTCCCATTTACTGAGCTATCGATCATGCACTTTTGATGAATGGATGTACTGCCTCCATCATATGCACATTATTTTAAAGAAGGCTACTTACTGTCCATGTATCTCAAATGTAGGTCTACTACATGAGAGGACCATACCTTACCCTATTTTAAAACTTGGCTCAGGTTATATATATTTAAGGTTGCTAACCTTTGTAAATAGATTGTCTTCAGACACTGCAAGAAATTTTCAACTTCCAACCAGTGTTTATTCATATATAATACATTCTTGCACTTCAGCACAATAAAAAGGTCATTGCAAGAACAACACCGAAAACATGTCACGGATCTTCATTAGGACATATAGAAAGTATATTTTAATCAAGTGAACACAGCTCATCATAACATCCCATTTCAGATCTATTTTATAAATATTCTGCTGCAATCTGAGTGTATTGGATAAACCATCAATTTTTTAACTTCACCTGCTATTAAGCCAATGAACACTAGATTTTTTTAGTTTATTTTTTTTTTATTGAGCTTAGGGTGGAATGTGAAGTAGAAGATGTTTAGAATTGTGAAAATACTATTTTAAGGTACTTCTGATTATTTATATAAAAAAGCAGCTGGCACAACTTTATCCCTAGATACAGTAAATGTCACACCAGGTGCCAGGTACCTGTCAAACAGTATGCATTGTCCTATACTAATTTTATATAGGAATTGGACTAGTGGATATTATTGCTGTGTCAACTACTTTATCAATTGCTAAAAGGGCATTTAACAATATATTTTGTTCTCTAGTGGTATTTTGAAGATAAAAAAATACCAAAATTAAGTGAGATGTTCAGACTTGAGGGACAAATTAGGACAGTCCCTCAGGAGAACTGGAAGGCATTTAAATGGGTGTAAAAGAAGTGGTTTAGAAACCAAAATAATGTTAATTTTTAAATCATATTTATGGCTTTAGTCTTCAAGTGAAACAGTCACTAAAATTAAGGTTCAGAATAACTGTGTAAAGCTTAAAAAATAAATACCAAAAAATATTTATAACTTATGCCACCAGAAACAACTACCCTGTCTGTGAAATCACCAACTTGACCTCATATACAACTACGTTTCAATGCAGTCATTCATGATGAGGTTTGGTATTACAGACACAGAGAATTGCCAAATCAAAACAATTTCTATCTATATATATTTACAAGAATTTTTGTAAACTCACTGTGTTCAAACATGTTCCAGACATGTATAACCTATATGCTCCCCTTAATACACCAGAAGCAGAAGGTATCCCCTTAAAAACACAACTTCTGGAATAAAAGGGAATCGTGACGGAATATTTAATACTCCCTTCCCTCCTCAATCAGACTTTCACCCAGCCTCCACTCCTTAAACTCACTTCTTCATTAAAGCGTATCAATTAAACTGTCAGCAGGTTTCTCACCCCCACCCCATGACTCCTTTCCTGCAACTGTCAAAAATGACCTACCAAGCACTCAATAAACTATTTAATTCCCCTACTTTAACCCTTTGTGTTACTATACCCCACTCCCTCTAGCATGTAAGCTCATCGAGCAGGGCCCTCAACCCCTCTGTTCCTGTACGTCCAGTGGTCTGATCTCAATGTGTCTGTTAGTTCACCCATTGTATAGCGCTACGGAATTTGTTGGCGCTATGTAAATAATAAAATAATAATAATGTGTCCTTAGGGGGGTATTCGATTTTGATGTACCCCAACCTATTCACTAATGAGTTAGTGGCACCATATTATGCCATCAGTGATGTAATACTATATGAATGACTTGGCTATTATAACCTCAAATATCTATGCACAGCTCTGGTATTACATCTAAGGATGCTCAAAAATATTTTCTATTGTAACAATATATTTAATGCACATAGTCACCTTGAAAACTACTTTCCCACCTTGTGGTATGTGTACCCCAAAAAGTATTTCTTGAAATGGCTAGTGTGTAACCTAGGGGCACTGTAAATTTCAACATTCATGTGAGGTTACTAGCTTGGAAATAAATATCTGTTGATAGGGATACTTTATCAGCCACATTCTGAGAAGCATGATTCTAACAGATATTAAGAACTCAATAAAGCCCTTGTGGCTATAAAGTTTCATATGCACAATGGTGTCAAGGCGAATATTAAAATGACGTGTTATTTGTGTTTCAAGCTAAATATTAAATGTATATGTTGTACATAAGCTCATGCTTGTATATTTAAAATACATGTATTTGGTTTGCATATTTTAAAATAAGTATTGAACCTTTACCTTCTTAGGAAAAATATATTTAAACAAAGGGCTGTTCATGTGACTGATTTCTTTAGATTAGGTTTATAAGCAAAGTCAAGTACAGATTAGGTGTGGACTATACACTTAGATAAAATTTCAGCTAGATGAGAATATATGAGAAATTAAACATTCAAAACCTACACAAAGAGTTAATTGCCACTGCCACTAAACAGATAAAAACCAAAGGTTTAGATGACCAAGACTCACTATATTTTTAGAACATACAAGACAGTCTGGTGCTGACCATAACTACTATTACATCATTGTAAGAATTATTAAAAATGTAAAAAGAAAAAAAATTGTGTGTCAGATCTCTTCATTGCAGTGAAATATTACATATTATGTTATGTAACAATATTTATTTTACTTTTCACTGCTGTAATTTCTTGTGTTTACTTTTGTACACTTTTCTTTATCATTCAATTTGCTATCCTTGCAATTCAGATCTTTCACACAAGCTTAGTGTAGGAGGATTTGATACTGCCTGCATAATTGATACTGCTGTATTTGTCTTTTTCAATTAATGGGTATGTCTGCATTCAAATGATCAAGGGATATCACCACAAAACACCCATAATAGCTGTTTTTTTGAAGAACCAATGAAACATTTACAGAACTAAAAGTGATTATCACATGTTAATAAAGCATTTAAAAAGTAAATTGTAATATAAATTGGTCTTGGTGTCCAATATTGTCACTAACTGAAACTTAATACACTGACCACAGATTTATCAGTGGTAAAAAAAATTAAAAAAAATAAAAAATAAGCCCTGTATTTATTAATGTATACATAACAAGGCCCCAGTAGCTAAAATGTTTTTTTTTTTTTTTTTTTTAAATAAAATAATTTTCTTTAAGTTTCGTTAGCTCTTGTGCTTGCAACCAGTGGCGGAACTCCCTGTGGACCACTGCGACCGCGGCCCTGCATTGAAAGGTCCTATCAGGTGGCTCATGCTGTTAGGGCCACACGATGGAAATGAATTTCCAGGGGGCTCGGTTAGCGCTGTGGCACTTTAACAGCACAACCAGGCCTCCTGGGATGACGTGAGATGCTGGGAGGAAGTGACTGCCCCGGTCACTTCTCCCAGCATTCAAAGAACCCGCGCTGGAGGAAGGAGAGGAGGGAGTCAGAGTGGGAACTCTGACTCCCATCAGCCTGAGCCACCACTGGAACCCAGGGAAGTCACCTTCCTGCACCTAAAAGGTAGGAAACAGGAGGGTGACTAAAACATTTTGTATGCATGTGTGTTTGTCTGTGTACGTATGTCTTTGTGTTTATACATGTGTCTGTATGCCAGTGTATGTGCGTGTCTCTGTATATGTGTATGTGTCTATGTGTGTGGGCAATGTATGGAAGGGGGAGGGTAGACGTATGGGCGGGGTGGCCCTAGGGCAATTTTCACACGGGGGGCCCTGTGGTTTCTAGTTACGCCTCTGCTTACAACTTTTCGTTTCATGCATACAAAAAAAAAAATTGTTCACACAGATCACAACACATATTCTATAATAAATTTGATGCACTTATACAATGTCAATAGTATCTGTCTCGATCGATTAAGTTTATGACTTAATAAATGGGGTTTAGCAAAATACATCTAGCTTGAAAAGAAGAAAAAAAAAAAGATTTGAAAGGTTGTCCCTTGTGGCTATATATGGTACTGCACAGATTATTCCAATTAGAGTGATGCAACAGCCTTTTTTTAGAATTAGTTCAAACATTTCTTTAGAATTAGTATTGAAATTAGAAAGGAGCTGCTCTACCCAGAGAGGAGGTGGATCAACTAGAATTGACCGGCTAATATTTCCTTATGCACTGTTAAATTTTTTGTTCAGTTTTTAAAATGTCCACACTACACAGGGTCAATTATTTATGTATGCATAATTTTAATATATTAAAGGGATACTTATTACAAAGTTTCTTATCATCTTACCTAAATTTTGGCACAGCTTACATTATTATTTTTAGATATCAATTTGGTTAGAGTTAATGTTTGCTGAGCAATATGGGAAATGTTGGTGTCTCAAAATGGTGGGATTCTGCCAACTTCAAAGAAGACCCATAGAGAAGACTTCTCAACATTCCAACCTGTACATTAACTCCAGTCTCAATTCAAAACTTTATTCATATGCTGGAGCAGAATCCCACTTTTTATCGTTTCTCTAGAAGTTGAAACATTTTTGAAGGGTTTATGAGCCAACCTGAAAAGAGGAGAGCTATGGCATAATTCAATTGTGCTCGGTATAAAATACAGATAGCTAAGTTAAGAGCCAGTGGTAATAACCTTGGCAGATTGTCTCCTGGGGTGTGACAAACCTTGCTCTACTACCTATCAAGATCTCCAGAGAAAATATAAATGAGTTTCCTCCAACCTTTTGCTAAGAAAAACATTACATTGTAATAAAAAAAATAAAATCGATAATTGTTCGAAAACATAACATGCGTATGGAGCAAGAATTTAAAGCACCATAAGATATCTATTTTTTGTTGACAAAAAGGTAACAGTTTCTACACAGTCAAGACATAAAAATCTACTTTATATTGATAATGTCAAGTATAAGAAATACACAAAAAGATACACAAAAGAGAGATACAGACTAACAGTGAGGGAAAGAGTCTCACACAAATATGAACACACATGGGAACACACTGAGAACTAGACAAACATACATACACACACACACAGGCTTGCCAACCCACTTAAAGTCAGTCCCGGTTAAATCTATTAAAATTCTGGTTTTCGCAGCAACTCTACTCCCTTTAAAAATCTAGATGGATGCCTTGCCAATGAAGAACAAAAAAAAAAACAAGTTATTTTATTCTCCAAAACGAACATGCTTTCTAATTGTAAGGTTCTATTTGACCTACATGTTTTGAAATTTTAGTGTAAACTTAACTTTTGATAGACCAGACCAGTCCTTATTGTCCACCAACAATTCAGGATTTCTGTATTTAATTTTTATTCCACTAGAGATGCTGACAAAATCTTAGAATGCATTCATAACGAAGATACTATGGTTCTAGTATCTGCAAATAATCAAAGATAAATCTGGTCAAACCTCTCCAGCACAGACATGGTGGCCTATTGATATTGATATAAGAGAAAATGCTGTTTTAACAAGACTTTACAGGGACTTCTACTTATTCTCGAATGAGGTTGGGGCTGTGAATACATTAAATTCCAAGCACATGTATTTATTTATCCTTTGTGTGAAATATTAAATTTTGTCTAGATTTGATATATTTCCGTTATATTTAAGTTTAATGCACAATGTTTCAAACTAAAACAATATTTAACAAACATTAGTGAACAAAAGTCAATGTATACTTTCTCTTTTACAATGCCAATATTTTCTTCAATTTATGTGCAAATTACAAATATACAAGGATAGAGAAAGAGCAAGTTTGTTCCAAAAAGTCTATTTATATTTCAAAATTAAAAGTATTATATTCTTTTTCGACTAAACATTCATTATATCCAAATAAATGATACTCTATTCAGACATACTGAACTTTTGACCGTATAAGCATTAAAATATTTTAAAGTTTCAGAGGCTAGCCTCTTCTTTCAACACAATAGGGCCCCTGCCGGGATTAGAAATCCAGTATTTAAAGAGTCCAAGCCTCCTTTCCATGTACACAAGACAAATCTGTACAAGGGATGTGAAATTACAAGGCAAAGGGCAAATAATGGAAACAGACTATTTTTCAAGTGAAACATTAGTGAAAAGTACTTCTATATATGAGTGTGTAAAATATCCTATCATTATTTCCAAGCTAAACCTTATGCCCCATTGTTCAGGAATTCTCATCCACGTTTGGAAAATGATCGCATTTTCCAAAGTAACACGTTTGGCAAACTTTTTTTTTTTTTTTAAACTAATAAAATAAAATATATATTTTTTAAATTTAACATAGAAACTTCCATGTTTTACAATGTTCTCAATATAATTTAACTTAAACTTAAAGAAAAAAAACGAAACATTTCAACATGTTCTAGAACGTTGTGGGAAACAAACAAATATAAGGCAGATATTGGCAAAGTTGCAGTTTCTATTTAAATATAAATAAAAATAAAACACGTAAAAGACTTCAATTTAATCTATTAAAATAATTATTTCTCTTAGGGTTTTAAAAGACAATGTTTTACTTTATAAAGTGACAAACATATTCATAATCCTTTGTAGAGGCAGATTAATTTCAACTCTAGACGGATAAACTACAGCTCCCACAAGTCTAACACTAACTATATGATGGAGGCTGAAAAGTCAAATTTAGATGGTGATAAGAGTAATGCTTAAGGATGCCCATTACCCACTCAGCCTTGTCCCCAAAATACAGGCGCTCCTGCCACTTTTTAGGTGTTTTTTCTCTAAGAGCTTTCATTTCCATTCACCAAAAGAATGGGGGATGAGAGGGAGACCAATTTAATAGGCAAATATACTACATTTGCATATATAATGAAGTACTTGCCTATATTCTGTTATCTCTGAAAAATATAATACTGGCAGGGTTTTTTACTAAAGCAGTAATTGTCTGGAAATGACCATGGGAATGAATATATAATAACAAAATAACTTGATGGAGGCGGGATTTGCAATCCATTGTCCGTTCCAAACTATTGCTGGTATAGTGAATAATCCTGTACAATTTAATCACTTTACGTTTAGTTGTAGTCTATTTGGGACAGATGGATGTTCAAGCATTTTCCACATTTATCATTGGCATCATAACCAATCTCACATTTTTCAAACAAGAGGACTCTAGGAAATGGCATAACTAAGGAAAATGTTGAGTGCGCGCTATAAATCTAATTTGTAAGACTGATATATGCCAAAAATATTTTTAATAAATACTTTTATATTATATTTACATATACACAGACATATATGCATATGCATATACATGCACTGGCATAATACATTTCTATGTATCATAAAGGAAAAAATCTATTTATTATTATTATGATATTTATAGAGCGCCGTCAAATTCCGCAGCGCTTTTAGACTTTTAATCCCTCCATAAATTCATGTTGTTTTGCTTTTTTTCTGGCAACATATATAAATGACTTCCCAGACAAGGACAATCTCTCCAAAGCCGTTTGTGACTGATAAAATTAATAGAAATTACAATTTATTCAAAAGCAAATACTGAGTGCAATATAAGTGGACGTAAGCTCTAATATCACAATGGCGTCTGTAGAAAACAGCAACTCATTTGTATATAGTGTCAGAAAAATCGAACAAACATTTGGTTGTTGGTTTTATAATCTCGGTTGTGAAAATATGGACATAATCTTTTTTTTTTTTTTAATCAGTAACACAGTTTGTGTGTAGATTTATCATGACAACGATGGTAAAATTAGTGTTTCATGAATTTGTATGTAACGTGCAACTAATGAGGAAACTGCAAACGAACCCCTCCCATTCAACCCAAAATTTAAATATTAAAACAGGTGAAGTGTACACGTAAAGAAATTTTACTAAACATTTTATACAGATTCATAACCAAACAAGCAATTACTGTTTAGCAAGGAACAGGTTATATTTATTCCTTGAAGTTCAAGGAGGTTGTATAACATATTGCTCACCTCAACGGAACTCATACCATTAAGGCATGGTATCTTCATCACAACATTACCTACGTGGCTACCTGATATAGGTGCACCTGTAGACTACTCCACTGCTGCATGACTGGATCTCGCTGGTGTATATCGATCCTGCCCTAGAGTGATCTGGTCGTGGCTAACTGGCAACCAGGCCTGCTCCACAAGCTTAACCAGTGCACCCAAACAATGCCTATGCGCCACCTCCATCTGATTATGCCACACTCAATATTTTTTATCATTAAGTGTGTGTGTGTGTGTGTGAGTGTGTGTGTGATTACTGGTGTTTTTGATATTTTGGAGGTTTATCTGTCTTTGCCCAGATTTCAATGTGCAGATACAATGTCATGTGTACATCTGTCTTCACTTGATTAGCTCCACTATAGTCCATATTTAAAACTTTAATCCACAGTGATTTTTTTGTACACTGGTCCTGTACAATATTTAAAAATATATATGTTGTGCTGTATTATAAATGTGCTCATTAACAGATTGCAATTCTAATTGTGCACAAAATCATTAGCCAGTTTGCATCTGGCCAATTAGATTTATTTTCACAATATTTTAGTTTTGTACGCCTTTGCCATTCAAAGCACATACACACTACAATTATTTCTGCACTATATGCAGTTACAATGCATATGCTGTGCTGAAATTCTGTTTCGTCCCCTCCTCCCCCAGCGCACATTAAAATCTACTACCACAGTAAACTTTTGTTTAATTTGTTAACACTAAGCTCCCGAATATCAAAACCGTAAGCCTCTCCATATACTTCAGATTTAAAAATCATAGTATACTCTCACCTCCAGAATACTCATTGTGAAAGTACAATATGTTGACTTGTTCTGATCAGGATACAGAATGCCAAACTGTTGAATAACCAAAAATACGCCTTTATAATTTAAATGGAAATGGATATTTAAAAACAGATTTTTACTACCTGTGCATATGGTTATTTTTGCATTTTTATTCAATAACACACCAGGCCTATTAATGCAAAAAAAAATGTTTTTTTACTTACATTTTGTCCTACTCATGCCTTTAAGCAAAATGATTGTTTGAACAACCTTTCCACCCATCACGATTGCTGATTAATCTTTTATTTGCCAATACTGATTCAATAAGAGCAGCAAAAGGCTGTTTTATGCCATGCCCTGAGCCAAGGATTCTACTACTTGTATTGGCCAGTAACCCCAAGGACCTGCCGTGTTTTCTACAATCAACACATAAGCACTGCATGCTTATTCTCCTAGATTTTTGTGTAAGAAATTATATTTGTGGGCAAAGCATGCAAAACGCATTGTATGCACTATTGATGTCACCACCAGGCCAGCGTTAACACTATAACATATATTTATTTTCTTGGTATTTGTAAGAGAATAGTTTGTTATATACATACAGTTCAAATTTGATGTACATCAAGTGGACAATCCTAAGGTAGGTACAGAGAGCTAGGAAAAACACTACAAAATAAGAATATGTAGACTTTAGGCATTCGTTCATAAATTTCCAATTAATATGTATGTGAGGCAGGCACTGGCCTCTATTCTAGAACAAGAGTTTATAACTTAAAGCCTCAGAGTAAGGTGTAAACTGCAAGTAGTTTGCAACTGCCCATGCTGCTTAAGAACCCATAGGCTTTATTATAATACATCACTCTCGTAACAGGGCTCAGCCCCCTAACATGACTTTTATACCTTTCACTTATAATTGGGTGTTGCACAACTTCTTGATGAACATATCAAAAATGTACTGGGTGAAGACACTTGTCAGTGATGCTCTACAGTCAAGTCAAGCTCCGTGACCCGCACATTCTTGTTCTTGGCTACTTGTAACCAAATTCTTATTTATGCTCATGAATATTTCACAACTTTCACAATAGAAGAATGTTCGTTCCTTTCGTTACTCTTAAGCCTGTTGAGGTTGAGGTTAGTACTCATCCCAGAGTTCTATATGATTGGAATGGAGAAGAAGCAATTCTTCTATTAAAAGCACTGGAAAGACAACTCATGAGACCTAATGGTATGACTGGTCATCTATTGTGGAAACTCTGTCACTCCATGGTTTAAAATAATAGAAAAATATATCTTTATAACTGCATGCGCAAATAAGATAATACTGTAATTGAACATGCAACTATGTAAAATGTTTGCTGTAATTAGAAATTTAATTCCACTTCCTAGCTACTTTTAGGCACTTAAAAGAAATGAACCATTGATAAACATAAAGGGTACCTCCACGAATGAATAATATTAATGGCATATGGGAAAATTAAGAAGGACATTTATGCAATTGAGAATGGTATTTCAGTCAATAGGGGTAAAAGGAGTACAGAAAAAGACAAAAACAAAACAAAAACAAAACAAAAACAGGGCAGCTGATTACGGTTTTGGGAGCAGACGAAAATAAATATTTTTCATGATGGTAAGTGATTTCATTTTCCTTGCAGTTCAGCTATAATTTCCATGCCAAAGTACATTTCCAAATTCTATTCAATACAGCGTTACTTGAGCGTTGCTTGTACAAATATGATGGACAACTGGGTTTTTAGCTAAAAACAGATCTAGTTTCTGCTTCCAGGTTCATTCTTTTGAATCTTAGTAATTACACAGAACCGATCCAACCAGCGCAACCAGTAACCTTGAGAATTATAGGAAAGTAATTTTTTCCCCCCGATTATCAAGTGAGAGATAAAAAAAAAAAAAGTGTTACATTATGCAGATAGCAATACTGAAAACTAATTGGGGCATCCCAATAAACTAAGAACGTTTTGTCTACAAACAAGAAAAGAGAACAACGGAGCAGATTTGACATTTGCCCATCTCACGTGTTTGTATAAGGGTTAAAATCAAACTACACAAACTGTGCTCATAATTCAGAACTTGGATACAAAAAGAGATTAGATTTATAACAGTTTGCTTAAAAAAAAAGAAAAGAAAAGATAATTATTATATAATTTTATGGCTGTTTGAGAGCTTGAAGAGCTGCCAATGCATGCATATCTCCTAAACCGAGGGGGATGTCAAACAGCCCAATTTGCCAGTTTGTAGAACCCTGCACTATCTATGCGTAAATGGCACAACACTAACTATTGGGTATTAGACCATTTGTGGATTTAGATGGCTAAAAGACAATGCAATTACACGCTTCATGAAATGAATGATATTTTCAGAGGCAAAGTGAAATGCAACACTTGTACAATATTTTTGGGGAAGAGTGGAAGATAAGAAAAAGAATATGGCCAAGTGCAGAAAAAAAAAATCACAACTCACAAATCTTTCTTTTTTTGGACTAAAATCACGAATGCAGAAAACAACGGTTTTAAGAAGAGTCTTCCTCATTACTGAAAATGGCCAGGTGTTCTCGGAGGATGTTCCAGTAAATCTAGCATCTCTGTGTGCAGTTAAAAGTCTAGAACTGATCTTCCCCAAAGATAACACCTTAAAGAACAAGTGTTTTTTGTTTGTTTTGTTATTTGATTTTTTTGTTTGTTTTTTAATGGATGAAGTAACAGAAGGTGGGTGCTAGCAGTCCAGATGTAAGTTCTCCATTACAGGAAAGTGACACACCAGTAAAAGAAAATAAAGCATATGGAACGTTAACATTTTATACTAGGAATAAGGAAGAGAAAAAAAAAAAAAAAAAAAGCTTTTTTCTCTCCCCGTTTTATATCTTTTCATTATAATACGCAGCCTCTTTTCATTACCATCATCAAATAACAGTTGAAAGAACAATACTGAGTTTTTCTTTCCCGTCTGTTTTAATGCAATGGTCCTCAGTGTAAGCCGCAAGACTGAGGTAAGACAGCATATGATTTGTGCTAGGAAACAGTAACCAAAGATGAATGTTCACTCCCCTTGCTCCCAACTGTCCTGCAGAAAGAAATGAAGAGAAATGGATGCTCGTGTTTAGATCTTCTTTCCAATTAAGTTTAATAGATGCTTTTGGAATAGGGTCTCATCAGAACTGATACCACTTCTTGTCTTTGTATTTTAACATCATCTACAACAAAGAAAATAGTATCATGAATAAGTACAGGCTTCATTTTTTGATAAGTTTCACATACAAAACATGAAATAACAAAAATATATCAACATCAAAAAGGAGAGGTATGTTTATGGCAGGCTGACCAGACAATGGTAGCAGTTAAGTGTATGCTGACACCGCCCAAGTGCTTTGGTTGAGGCAGTATTTCACAGTTCCACATCAGCCATTTTAGCTGTGAAGTCACATACCTGAGAAAGGTCATATGGTTGGGGAAGATGGCAGAGTTAGGTTAGTGGGGCAGGATTATGAACATGGAGG